CTCCTAGCAAACCTCTACAGCATGCTCCCGTCTCCTTGAAGAGCCAGGCCATCTTGATGAACTTAGGGTTTAGGGTTTAGAATTCAGGGTTCAGGTATGAGGGCTTAGGGATTCGGAGACCTGCTATGGCATGTCCATGCCTGTTCCACATTCAAGCACCGTCGCCGCAGATTTCTTGGCATAACTTCTCACTTGGACATCATGCGAGCACCAAGCATCTCCATCGATGCATCAGCTCCTGAGCTTTTCCATGTAAGGATTTCTCGGCCACAAGAAGTTTCTGGGGACCCAAGGGCTTTGTACTTCTGCATGTGTATATATATATATACATTTATACATATAAAGGTATGGTGGAGAGATTGTAGGGATCCTGCTTGTGCCCAACACCATCAGCTTCTTGACTTGGGCGGTTTGAGGCCAGAAGGTTGAAAGGTCTGGGGTCTATAGGCTTGCGTGACAGAGAATCCAAGGACTAATCCAGTCCTGAAAGTCTACGCTCTGTAGCTACTGCTACTGAAATAAGACTCTCCAAAATCCCTATGAATCCTAAGCATCAAATCTCAAGCCTTGTATAAATCCTAAGCCCGCTACCCTGTTCCCCAAAGGCTATACCCTGACCCCTAAACCATATATCCTGCTCCCTAAAACCTATGCCCTAACACCTCAACCCTCTACGCACCCTGTTCCCTAAACTCTATACCCTGATCCAAAGGCCCTTTATATACACACACTGCTTTTTTAAGCCTAAACCCAAGGTTGTGAGTCCTTACTCGGGTGCTAGGAACTTTGTGCGTGGAGGCCGCTACCACAGGGCCCTGAAGTTTGGTGATCAAGCTTTGCCTCAGCCATGCGCCCAATATCTCCAAAAAACAAATGGAAAATGACATGGAAACCCTAGGTCCCTTTAAAGGCGTATATAGGGATATATGGGGATATGTAGGGATTTTACCACAAAAATGGAGAATCATATTATGGCAAAGGAACAAATTGGGGGGGGGGTTATAATAATGGAGAATCAAATGGAACATAACATGGAAAATGAAATGGAAACTGGGTTTATATAGAGGTTGCATTTGGTTAGCTGGGAATGAAGGCATGGAAACTACTATAATGGCTTTTAGGGACTACTACAAGGGTCCATTCCTTCATTCCTAGCTAACCATAGGAAAGTATATCTAAGGTGCTAACCATGGGCCCCTAATCGCGTTAGTGGAGTAGGGCCCACAGTTTCAACCTTAGACTGCCTTAGACTATACATCGCAAACCCCCAACTCCCACAAGTCCCCTACAACGTGACAGACTGGATGACTTGGGGGAAGGTATGGGAACCCTTGATTTGGAAGCTAGACCATTGGAGCACCAGCCTTTTCCTATCTGCACCTGGAAAGAGGAAAGCTGCATAACTTTCACACTCCAACTTTTTGAGCCCCAAACCTCCACTCTGAATCCCTAAACCTCCAAACCCTATAAATCCTACATTTGTATCATTCATGTACTTTTCCATGCTCCCGCTTTGAGCATCACTATGCAGAGGAGGGGCGAAATACCTTGAGATGCTCCGCCTTGGTCTGTTGCTTCCTGACATATCAGGGTTTAGGGTTTGGGAGTGTAGGGTTTAGGGTTTAGGCTTTGGAACTGCAATGGGGGCACCAAACAGGGAACCCAATAATATAATATACTGGGAATGTACTAGGCATATAGGAGCTTTGGTAGGTGTATCCCGATTATATTCCCAACATATGCTTCGACTTCCCTGTCGCGGAGTTCCCATTTTAACGCCCCATTCAACTCGAGATTATGTGAGGGCTTTGGGTGTATATGGTGTGGATTCAAAATCTGACTTGTTAAGAATGCCATCCACCTGCCCTCCTTAGATGCGTGCATTAAATCTAATTGAATCCCGCAAGCTCTATTCCACTTTCTGTTGGTGTTTTTTGGGTTGGGGGTTAATTGAGCTTGAGATTGTGGTTTCCTTCGTCAGTGTCTTCATGTAGGGTCTGCTACTGGCGGTGAAATTAGTTGACACTGCTCTGGCTGCTGGTGATCTTGCGCGATCCTATTAGAAGTCCGTGCCAGTTTGTGGACTATTGTGTTCTTGTCTACTGCGGCCATGCAGGATTTTCTTGTATCTATAGTAGTGCGAACCTCGGAAAGGTTGTAGGCGAGGCTCCAATCACACTGTCCGGTAAACCTGCTTAGTTCTCGCACATGGCTGCATTTACAGCATGCTATCAGAAGCATCCTGCATTTCTACGCCCGGCCATGCATACCTCTGACGCCACTCTTACACCATCAACCATACTCCTAGTTACCTCCATCTGCTTCTGAAAAGCAAGTGGGAAGCCTCAATTCTGACAGAAAGTCGTGCGTGTGCGAATGCAGAAAATCCTGGGTGCCACAAATATCGCCAGCTATTAGCCCAAAAAGGGTCCACGTAGCTATATAGATCTAAATAGTACATACTGCATCCTTAAAATGGTTATATGGGAAACCTTTTGGATCTTAAGTATATACTATATTCCCATGGACCCTTTGGCAACTAGTCTCGGCCTGTCAGATCCCAGGACGTCTACATAGGGATTAGATCGGGATTCTATAGGGGTCTTATAGGGATGTATATGGGGGAATGTAAAAGCAAATGGAGATGATTTAGGGTTTAGGGATTACATGTCCAATTGTCCAAAGACATCGCTCTGCATCACCATCCCCTAGTGGCTCTTGGATAGATACCATAAACCCATCTATCTGGTAGTTTCGCGAAATAGGAGACCCCAATATAGACACGGAAGTACTATAATCCTTATTATGGAGACCCTTGCCAAAAGAGCACAAAATTCCCCATCTCCTCTCTCACGGTCCCGCCTGTAACCTGGAGTACCGCCGGCCCTAATCACCTCTCATGCAAGCGCCATGGGCTTGCACGGGGGTTTTAGTCCGGTGTCAGTTGAGATGTTGAAGGCTAAGGTGTGTAGCGACGTTGACACGAGGATGCCAAAGCAATCTGATCATGTTGAGAAAGGCAATAGCATGCATATGGGATGCCCTGCTGTAAGAAATCTGTATCGTTTACATCATGCACCCGTTTCTTGGCTTTCCACTTCTGTCATGTTCTTGTAGGTCCACATGTGCCTTAACTAGACTGCACCTGGTATCTCCTCATGAAAATACAGCATCCAAGCTAGCCCAACAGGTCTAGCAGGCTCTCGTATAATCAGAGTGTTGCCGAGACTGCGGAAAACTTCGGTTAGAGCTGCCCATTCAGACCTCTTGACTTGCAAAAAACCTTTCCAATAGCTTCATGTTCTTCTTTGCGCGAAGGTTGGTAACTTCAACAAGCGGGTAGGATGGCAAAGATCCCCGGAACAACCACTCTGAAGACGCTCCCTCCGTAAGCTGAATATGAGCAAGCTGAATCTTTGTCAAGGGGAGGTGGGACAGCGCTCCCTTACAGTCAATTTTTGATGCATGTGCAAGCCCGAATACTTAAAACCGTTCTGACCCATTGATCCTATGGGTAGTTGCAACTAATTAGACTATCACGTACCCAGCAAGCCTGTCCATCTTGTCCTCTCCTACATTGCAAAGCTCAAGCATTCGAGAGCATGCGCCTCCTTGTCGCGAAGTTTTCTTGCCAACTTGCTGACCTTTTGGTCCAGAGACCTGGAATTTGGAAGGCTTGGAGGAAATGCAGGACTTTCCGTTTTCGCGGCCTGGGGTTCGGGACTAGCCTGTGCCAGGCTAGGACGAAAAGGCAATGTCTAGGCAGTTGCTAGTTCCTCTGAACTATATAGTCTAAACTCGCAATATCCCTTAGGAGGACCCCCACCCTGTAATAGTGGTATACTAGGAATAAGAGGACCCTAATATAATCCGTATTATCCCCATACTCTCGTTGGGGCTCATCAGGGTTCAATGTTTCAGGCTCTCGCCACATATAGCTGTATATGCCGCCGCGGCCTGGTCTGTCGCAACACTCCCTAATGTAGACCCATGACTAATACACCCCCTCCTTTTGAGGGCCTAGATATCAGGATCCCTATTATAATCCCTATTGAGGGGAGGGGTTTATGAATCAGAGGTCTATGTGGGTTATGAGCGTCCTACGACATCTTGTGGGAAAGTTGTAAGGCTTCGGTCCAGAAACCTAAACCCGATGCCTGCCGGGCAACCATGCCTTCTCTGGCTACCTCACACCACGCCCCTTCTGAGCTGCACGGATCCACGCATGCTGGCGTACCAGTGGAAACGTACAAGTCTTGCTGAAGGAAACGTAGAAGGTAAAACGAACTCTGACGTAAACTCTTCTTTCTGCCTTCCCGCCCACCCCTCACCAGACTTGCAGGTTTCAGTTCTGATGTTCGGCTGCAAGTGGGACACTGGCCATTTGAGAAAGCTCTTGGCTCAGCACAAAAAGTTTTGAGCAGAATATCGTACAATTGCTCAGAACAATTTCTTCTTCATGGAGTTCTCTTCTGGCTCCTGATCATGCAGGGCCAGGCTCTACTCCATTACGCAACTTCCTGTTCATCACCATCAAAGCCTACACAAAAGGAAGTTTACAAGATGCACCTTGGGGAACTACTTATTTCGGATCGCCAGTAGCATGCGGAGTTACAACACGACACAGAAACACAACCTGCAACAACACGCTATGCTCCCGATGCTTGCAAGCTTCCGTTCGGCCAGGACTGTGTCCCTAGCTATAGGTTCGGCATGCGTCAGCAATGCGCTTCAATCCGGTTACTAAACACATCGGGTACTTGGGGTGCGAAATATATGAGCTGTACTTACCTAAGTTGCGATTCGCTGAAGGCTGAAGAAAAACGTGACAGGGCTCGCGGACCTCCACCTTGACCCCTGTTCACCTTCCAGACACCCTCCAGACTTTGATGACGTTTAATCCGGGTGTGACTACTCTCTTTTCAAGCAAACGCCTCGTTTACAGGATAAATAGAACCTTGCGATACCAAGCGTTGACAACATGTTTGTAGTCATGCCACTTGATGTCGGCATGCATGGCGACCTGGTCGATGGCTCTGGCAGGCCCCTTGCATCTCATGATGCCATCAATGAACTCGTCAAGCGTAACCTGAAGTTTGGGCAGCGTTCTTGCCTAGAATCCCAGCTAATTAGATTTGCAGCCTTCGCAGACAAGGCTGCATAACTATGCCAAAACCCTTTCCATTCACCTACATGCACTGTTGTACTCACTCAGTACCGTGACTGAACACAAGATCTTCCCAACAAAGCAGTTCCAATCAAATGCTTTGTGTCAGAAAACACCGGAAAAACTAAGCAAAGGCTGATATCGCCTCGTTTGTCGCCGACATGCTCAGATTCTTGGTAGCCTGTGTCCCTGTACAACACGAATTGGACATGACACCGCACCTAAGATGATGGCAACAAGGAGTTTGCGTGCCAAACCTTGACTTTGGGGAGTTTAAACGCATCGTAACAACCCACCATATGTGAATTACACGTGGAGATCTCGAGGTTTTTCGCCAACTCTACAGTTAGGGGCCCTTAATGAATGATGCACAAGTCGGGCAACAGCTTGCCTGCATTTAGCAAAGCCATCTCACCAAACTTTTTTGGATAAGATCTGTAGCTGTGCACTGGAACCAACATTCATTTAAACAATGCTGACTCTTGTGACATCTCGCTACTCCGATGAAAATGCTACCCAAAATGGATCATCTAACCTTAAACATATACATCGCGAGCATCGCGCGCCTCGCCATCCCCATTGTCCAAAAGGTGGAAAAGTGCAACGCCTTCCTTGGATGGTTTGTTTTGCGATTGTGCCCACCTCCTGTATTCATCCAAATTTTGATGGGTCTGAGAAAGGGATGTGTTATAAAGAAAACACAACGGTTATGGGGTGGTGCGAAGTGAACTGCTGGAGCTTTTGCAAGTGAAACCTTTTTGCGGTCGAGCTTATGGTGAATTGCTTGACAATATGTTTGACATGTTGTGCGACTTAGGATAAGGCTGGTCTTAGGATCTGAAAAGCATGTTCTTTTGTTTTGTGTGTGGGAGGGCGTCTTCTTTTGCAATGACGAACCACGACAGGCTTGGTATGATACATGTTGTAGCCGAGTGCCAGTACGCATGCGCAAGTTGGAAAGCCTGTATGTACATATGTCTATAAATATGTGTGTATATGTATAGATGTATATATGTATATATGCATATAGGTATATATGTATACATGTATGTATGTGTATGTATGTATGTATGTATGTACGTATGTATGTATGTCTGTATGTATGTATGTAGGTAGGTATGTATGTATGTATGTATACAGGTATGTATGTATGTATGTATGTATTTATGTACGTACGTATGTACGTAGGTATGTATGTATGTAGGCATGTATGCACGTATGTATGTATGTATGTACGTATATATGTATGTAGGTAGGTAGGTATGTAGGTAGGTATGTATGTATGTATGTACGTAAATATGTAAATCTGTAAATATGTAAATATTTGTATATGTATGTGAATATGTGAATATGTAAATATGTATATATGTAAATATGTCTATATATGTATGTATGTATGTATGCAGGCATGCATGCATGCATGTATGTATGTATGTATGTATATATGTAAATATGTAAATATGCATATATGTATGAGAGAGTCGCCTTTAGGGTCTATTTGTCCACTTCTATTTTGTTCTATCTACAACAAGTCTGAAATTAATTTAATCAGTTTACGTAATTTAATTAATGAAGTTAATTAACTTAAGTAATCTAACTATTGAATTAAATGCTTGAATTGATTTGATTAATTTAATTAATATATTTAAGTAAATTGTTTAAATATTGAATTAAATAACTGAATTAATTTAACTAAGTAAATTCATTACATTACGTAAATTTTTTAATTATTGAATTAGGCAATTTAATTACTTTAATTAAATCAAGATAATTTACTTAACTTAATTACTTTAATTAACTAAACTATCTAACTGAATTAATTTAATTAGTTTAATTAATTAAACTATCTAGTTCAATAGTTAATTAATTAAATGAATTAGACTAATTAAATTATTTAATTATTGGAGTAAAATATTTACTGTATTTAATTAGTTTAAATAGCTTAATTAATTAGATTATCGAATTCAATAATTAGCAAATCTAATGAATTTAATTAAGTAAATAAATCAAATTATCTAACTCAATATTCAAATAATTAAATCAATTAAATTAACTAAATTAAGTAAACTGTTTAATTCAATAATTCAATAATTTAATTAATCTAATTAATTTACCTAATTTAATTAAGTAAATTAATTGAAATAATTAAGTTGTTTAATTCAATAATTCAAGAATTGAATTAGTTGATTCAGTAATTAAAAAATTTTAAATAGTTTAATTAATTAAGTTATTTAAATTAATTAAAGTAAATTAAATAATTACAATTGAATTCATCTAATAATTTACACAATTTGAGCAATAGATTTCATTAATTATTTAGATTCTCTGGAAGGTACCTGAGAGACCTCTGGGAGGCCCTTGGGAGGCCCCTGGGAAGCACCTGGCCGGGTAAGCTCCCAAAGGCCTTTCAGAGGCCTCCCAAGGCCTCTCACAGACCTCCCAGAGCATTCTCGGGGCCTCCCAGAGCTTTCCAGGACATCCACAAGGTTGCAGGACAGGCCGCTGGAAGGCGCACCCCAGTAACCTCCCAAAAGCCTCCCCAGAATCTCCCAGGTGCCTTCGACGCGTCTTTTAAGTGCCTTTCAAGTAAGGACCTACCAGTCACCTTTCAGTGGCCTCCCAGATGCCTCCCGCCAGTGCACTTGGGATGCTTTTGGGAGGTTATTGGGAGGGAGGCCCTTGGGAGGTTACTGCGATGCCACTTGGGAGGCCCTTGGAGGCGCCTGGGGCCCGTGGCCTGGGAGACCGTAAGTTTTTGGACAGATAGACTTACCAAATCTCAAATCGCAAGCAGTGACCCCCTTAATTCTTTAGGCAAGTAAGCTCCCCAAATCACAAATCGCAAGCAGTGTCCCCCTTAAGTTTTTAGATAAATAAGCTCCCCAAATCACAAATCGCAAGCAGTGTTCCCTGTAAGTTTTTGGACAAATAAACTTACCAAATCACAAATCGCAAGCAGTGTTCCCCGTAAGTTTTTGGACAAATAAACTTACCAAATCACAAATCGCAAGCAGTGTCCCCCGTAAGTTTTTGTACAAATAAACTTACCAAATCTCAAATCGCAAGCAGTGTCCCCCAGACAGCCTTGCGGCCGAGTCTAGAAAGGCAAGTGTAGCAGCTGACTCACAATCTTGTCAACCCCAGAAAACCGAATCGCATGGTGTCCAAGTTCTCTTCTCTCACCTTGAATCTCGACAACTGACCACTGAATCATGGCGGACCCCTCAACCTCAAACATGACCGCCTAAACCCCAACACGCGAACTTTCACTTGCAAGCTCAGCTTCATGAAGATCAAGCTCCAGGGTCTCGAGATAGGCTGCCACCTGTTTTGATGGCTGGGGGTGTGGCTTCATGCACTTCGCTCGCAGAATCGAAGGCACCATCAAACAATGCCCCTGATAACAACCGCGTGCAAGTTAGTAGGGCTAGTTCTTTGGTGGCTGAGACTATATCCTTCTTGTCAAGTACTATTCCCAAGTACTATTCCCCACAGGTGAACTGCATGCTGTCACGGATATGCTACATCGCGGAGTGAAAGCAAACACAATACCCTAGACTCCCAACCCCTTCCAGAAGCTTCCCCAACCCAAAACCCTAAACCTTAAATAGTAG